CTCCTTTCAAGTGACAGCATTAGAGGCCAAAATATTTCCAGGGAAATGACACAGAAGTAAAGGAAGAAGATGAACACAAAGAGGAGGAGATGGCCAATCTCGTCAGGTGATGTCATCCTCTCACCCTTCTGGGGCTTATTTAGAGGCTTTGTCCTACCACATGGGGCCTCATTTCCTTGCAAACCTATCATTAAAGGCCAGACTTCCAACAGGATTCCAATGTGAGGCCCAGCCACATCCCCAGCTTTCCCTAGTGACCAGCTCAGTTTGTCTCAGGCACCAGTTTTCCCAAACATGTCAGCTTTGCCCTCGGGCTTCAGTCCTTCTGTGGTACCCAGCACTGCTGTCAGGAGACATAAGCCTGTATAGTTTCGCTCCCCCCTCTGTCAGAAGCATCTAGGGGTCCCCAGGCACCAGCACAGCCAGGTTTCAGAAAGAAGGACATGGCTCTGCCACAACCTAGGCCTGCTTCACCACTCCTCTTAAACTGGGATGTCCCCTACAAAGGCACATGCTGGGGACAAATACATCTGCTTTCCTCTTCCCACAGCCCACACCTCAGCTTCTGCTCTGGCTCCACATTCTGACAAGACAGCACACACAATTCCAGACACCCAGCAAGATTTCCATGCAACATATAACCCTCCCCAGAGCAAGTAAGGGCTCCCATTCCCAGCAAGGACTGGCTGGAGAGCAGCACGTGTCAGGCTCTCCCCGGGGACGCGTGCCAAGGGAAGGATTCAGTGCTCTGCACTGCATCTCCTGGGGCAGAGGAGGAGCTGGATGTCCCCAAGAGGAATGGCAGCCCAGCCTGGGGCACCAGCCACGCTCCTCTGACACCCCCAGCTAAGTCCTCATTGCAAAGGGTGGGCAAAACTCCTTCCCCATCTAGGCTGGCACTCCACCAGAGACAAGGAAGCTCTCTAATCACAGAGGCCAATTTAAGATGATGAAGGGAGCTTAGAAGGTGCATGACATTAACCTGATGGTGACAGTAGAAGTCCATCCAAACCAGAAATTATGTCAGGGCCCAGTGAGAGCCAGTCGCTCCCTGCAGGAGGGGAGGCAGGAGATGAGCACGATTACAAGGCCACAAGGACAGCAGCCTCACTAGTAATGGCCCCAGCACGTGGTACCTGAGCAAGGAAAATGCAGAGGCAGGAGACAGGCGTGGCCCAGAGGCCAGCTCAACAGTCAAGTTCATGGTGATGAAGCAGGACTGACATCGCGCTGGGCAGTCATCCCACACGCCAGAAGCAGATCCAGTGATGGTCACCTGGCTCAACAGAGACCCCTGATTCCTGACCAGACCCATAAGGGCCAGACAGACCCAAGGGCAGGCTGGGAAAGCAGAGGGTAAACAAGTGTCCGGTTCAAGGGGGGGTCATGGTCAGGCATAGGCAAATCTGCAAAAGAACAAGAAGCTTACACTGCTGCCATCAAGCTGGAACAAGGGCTAATGGCTCAGGACAGAGCTTTAATAGAGCCCTGGGTGGAAGGGAAGAGGGAGGTGTGAGAGACCCCAGGTGAGGCTCATCAGGGCCAATGGGCCTCTTCTTACTACCCCCAGGCCAAGATCTGCAGGAAGAGGCAATCCCTGTGCACCTGGAACACAGGTCACCAACTCCACCTATCACAGCAAATGTGGGAAGGACTTCTTCCCTCAAGAAGGCAAGCTTGCATTCATCTTACAAGTACAAAGACTGTCTTTTCTTCTGAGGGTCCTTTCAAACATCTCCCTGCCCCACACAATCCACAAGTAGAGTCCCCTACCAGACCCTGATACTCCCACAGTCAGTGCCTCTGGCAAGGGTTTGCCCAAAGGCCCCAGTGCCCTCCCGCACGCTGCTCGCTCTGGTCACGTGCTGCAGATGCGGACTTCCCTCCCTGGGACCATCCTCTCACCCCACCACACTTCTGCTGTCAGCGCAGCAGGCCTCAGGAATGTTGATGGAGAGTGCATTTCCCGGGGCCCTTCCTGCCCAGCAGGGCACAGGGATTTTGATGACAGCAGCTCTCTCTCAGGGAAGACAGGGCTCCAGCTAAGGGGAAAGCCACTGTAGGGGTTCCCACAGCGTATGGGACAGCACAAGAGGTGACCCTCATGGTATGTGAAGAAGGAGTGGGGTGCATGGGGCAAAACATCACCTGTGGTGGACAAGAGGATGTGGGAGGGAAGGACAGAGAGCTTGTCCTCTCCTACATCACCAACTGCACACCAACTCTATGCATGAGCAAGAGTACTTCCCTCCCTGATGTTGCTGGTCTTGCAGTTCAGGGCAGAAGGGCAGGAAGACGCAGTGGCTGCATCCTGGAGGGTTTCTTCCTTTCCTTCCTTCCTCTGGTGTGCAAGGAACCGAGAGGGACTTTGCTAAATGCCTTCACTTCTGTGTCACGGCCCACAGGTCATGTACCCTCCCATAGAGCAGCTGTGGTGCTATGGCAAGATTGTTGAGTACTTCTGAAAGGGGCCTGAGGGGCAGAGAGAGATGGTGTGGGGCCAGAAGTGAAGGCACACACCTCCTTGGGCATCTGTCACACCCCAAACACATCGTGGAGCCATGGAAAGCATGGCAGGGGTGTGCTGGGAGACACAACAAGTGTGGTGCTTAGGGCAAAGTGATGTGGGTGACTTTGGGAAGGCTCTATCCCATGTAAAGAACAGTCCCCTCCAGGGGACCATTTGAATGGGACACTCACTCTCAGTCCCTCAGAAGGATACAAGTGCACCACATGCTTTCAGCCACCCCTTTACAATATAAGGAACCATATTTGCTACTGCAGCCATATTATTTTACCCTGGGCTGCTTTAGACAAAGTATTTCCAGCAGGTTGAGGGAGTTGATACTTCCCCTTCACTCAGCACTCATGAGGCCACACTGGGAGTAGTGTGTCCGTGTCATGGGCTCCTCAGTGCAAGAGAGACCTGGACATACTGGAGAGAGTCAGATGAAAGGCCGTGCAGATGATTCAGGGACTGGAGTGTTGCACATAAGATGAAAGGCTGAGACCTGGGAAGAGCAGGCTCGGGGAAAGAAGGCCTCATTCATGCTTCTAAATACCTGAAGGGAAGGTGCAAGGATGAAGGAGTTAAACTCTTTTCAGTGCTGCCCATTGAAGGGACCAGAGGCAATGGGCACAAAAAGAAACACAGAAAGCTCCATCTGAACATCAAGAAACTATTTAACTGTGAGGGTCATAAAGAACTGAGACACATTCCCTAGGGATATTAGGGAGTCTCCACCAATGGAGATACCCAAAAGGAACCTGAACACAAAGGAACTGGGTCTAGGTTGACCTCCTTGAGTAGGGGGCTGGACAACAGCCCTCCAGAGATCCCTTCCAACCTCAATCATGGTGTGATTCTGTGACATTTTTCCCCCCCGGACAGCTTGGCCAGGCATCCCAGGAGAGGAGGAACACAAGGAGACTCAAGCTACAATGCAGCAAAAACTTTAATGAGTCTAAAGAGCAAAAGCAAGCAGTGCGTGCTGGAAGGGACACGGCCCACGCTGCTCCAAGGGCAGCTGACAGACAGACACCCCTTCGCAGCCATGGCACACGCGTCTTCCTCCCACACACGGGCGGAGAGGGGGATGAGCAGGGCCCCGCTCAACTTGCTTCAGGATGAACCCATGGCACAGGACAGCAGCAGGCAACAGGGGCTCACGATGCACAGAAGAATGCAGGAGTAGAAGACGACATCAGGTGGCCAAGTTTCCAGACAGCACAGGAGGACACCTGGCTTTGTCGGAGGCCACGAGGGTTCTTGGCCCCTCTGGAAACCTGGCCAGAAGCTCCATCCTCAGTCCGGCACCTGGCTTTGGGCTTCCTGGTCAATGCACTCATGGGACATCAAGACCGGCTTTAGCAGGGCAGGCACCTTCTGCCGTAGGAGCGGCCACCAAGGCCAGAGAGGTTGAAGCCCCCGGAGGAGATGGGCACTCCCTCCTCGCTCAGGATGCTGCCCACAGCAGCGGAGGTGGTGGATCCCACAGCGGTGTTCTGGGGGAAGGAGCTGAGGATGGGTCCGGGCAGGGTCACCACCACGGGCGAGGGCTGGATCACCACACGGGAGTCCTGGCACTGCCTGACGCAGGGCTCGTTGCAGCTGTTGGCAAGCGGGGTTGGGCCACAGGGACGGCACAGATCGTAGCAGGACATGGCTGTGGGATGGAGGTGCACCTGGGAGGGAGGGCAAGGAAAGCACGGGCAGCGTGTGAGGCACAGGCTGGGGAGCAGGGAGAGCCTGCCTAGGGAGGAAGAGGGACTAAAGAGCCCAGGTACCGAATGCGGCCCTGCAGAGAAACCAAAGTCCTTCTCCCACCTCCCCCCCCGATGAGGACCAGGAGAGCAGAGAAGCTGGGACTAGGTTCAAGGAGCAATTCCCTTAGCAAAACCTAGACCGAAAGAAAGACTCAGTTGAGGCCAAGGGACAAAGAGGAGAAGAAGAGAGAGAGAAGAGTGAGGCAAAGGTGTTTTCAGCTCACCTTGTTCACCAAGGAGGAGAAGGCAAGAGAAGTGGATGAGGGAGCCTGCTGTGGGACTGCCTTTTATACTGCTCCCGACCGCCCCAGGCCCACAGGCACCCTTGGCGCATGCAATGTGGTGCCAACAAGCTCATCTTGCATGCAAAACATCACAATTAAAGAAATGGGGTGGTTGTTTACGTTCCCTGCAACACTGCCTTTTCATTTCCCTGTCCATGACATGCCCGTTGAGCCACACAGGCTCCTTTCAAGTGACAGCATTAGAGGCCAAAATGTTTCCAGGGGAATTTACAGCAGAAATCAGGCAAATGTTTCAGCCAACTGGGTGGAGTGGTGCCATATTTTCAGGTGATGTCAGCATCTAACCCTCCTGAGGCATGCTTTTAGCCTTTCTTTTAATGGATGCAAGGTTTTTTCATTATAAACCTAGGATTAAAGGGCAGACTTTCTTTATGTGCGGACTGGCAAAATTCATTGCGCTCTGTGCCTCCAAGGCCTTTTAAGCTTTCTTAGGCATCTTTTTTTCATCAGGGAGACTATGCTCTTGGGTTTTTGAACTTTCTTTGGTATCTCACATTGCCCTTAGAACAAATTAGCCTGTCTGTTTTGTCTTCCAACCTCTTTCAGCATTGCTTGGATTTCCCCAGTCACCAGAACAAGAATGTTTCCCAAAGAATGGCGCTGCTTTCCCACAAGTATTACTTCGTGACTGCTGTCATCTTGCAGAAACAACTCCCTAACAAGAATGTCTCCAGGCATCAAAACTCTTCCTTCTTCCATTCCCCATATCCATACCTCAGCTTCTGCTCTGGCTCCACATTCTGACAAGACAGCACACCAATTCCAGATACCCAGCAAGATTTCCATGCAACATATAACCCTCCCCAGAGCAAGTAAGGGCTCCCACTCCCAGCAAGGACTGGCTGGAGAGCAGCATGTGTCAGGCTCTCCCCGGGGACGCGTGCCAAGGGAAGGATTCAGTGCTCTGCACTGCATCTCCTGGGGCAGAGGAGGAGCTGAATGTAGCGGCGCCCCAGCCCGGCGCACCAGCCACGCTCCTCTGACACCCCAGCTAAGTCCTCATTGCAAAGGGTGGGCAAAACTCCTTCCCCATCCAGGCTGGCACTCCACCAGAGACAGGCAACTCTCTCTTTGGCCCAAGCTAAATTTCTCATCCAGGACAATGAAGGGAACTTTTAGGCTGACAGGAGATGTTTATCTAAGCAAATATGCACGCAGAGCAAATCCCCTGTGAGACTGCACCACGCAGCCCAGCACAGAATGGAAGAATTTCCTTCAAACTTAAAAAGAGTTTTCATTACCCTCAAAACACATATACACAGTTTTCTATCCTTTGCATTTCCAATTAAATCCTTTCCACAAGCAAAACAGGAATTGCAAAGAAGCCATTTCCTACCACCTCTCCATTCTCCCTGACTCAGCCCCCCATCCTGAGGGTCTGCTTAAATGCTCAACACCCCCTGCTCCTCAGAGAATGTACCGAGGACGTTGCCTTTCTTCCATGGTTCAATCTTGGCCTTGCTTCTGCTAATGGCTCCGCATGGCTTACAGTCATGGATGGGAATGTGTTTCTACAGGGTCTCCCAGAAGATAAAGTCAGAGTGGTATTTTAAAGGAGAGCTTTCTTTCAGGGAAGACAAGAAGGCAACCATCCGGTACAAACATATACTTATAACCCCCAGGATAGTGCACAAGACTTGTCTTTGATTCTATCAGTGGCAGGACTGTAGGGCCAGGTGCAAAGACATTCCCCATGGAGAAGCAGACCACAGAAGGGACGGAAGGAGAAAAAAAAAGTCAGAATTCATATTGCCATTTACACAGTTGCCCTGGTGGCCACCTGCACCTTCAACTCCTTTGGGACTCTCTCCACTTCCAGGCTTTGGTAAGGTGCTTGGAGGATGGAAGGGCAAGGACACATTGGAGTGGCAACAGGAGACCGGAGCCTTGGCCAGGGGGCTGTTAGCCTGCCCAGAAATGTCTGTCAGCTGGTCAATGGCTTGCCTCATCAACTGGAAGCCAGAAAGCTCCATCTGAACATCAAGAAACTATTTAACTGTGAGGGTCATAAAGAACTGAGACACATTCCCTAGGGATATTAGGGAGTCTCCACCAATGGAGATACCCAAAAGGAACCTGAACACAAAGGAACTGGGTCTAGGTTGACCTCCTTGAGTAGGGGGCTGGACAACAGCCCTCCAGAGATCCCTTCCAACCTCAATCATGGTGTGATTCTGTGACATTTTTCCCCCCCGGACAGCTTGGCCAGGCATCCCAGGAGAGGAGGAACACAAGGAGACTCAAGCTACAATGCAGCAAAAACTTTAATGAGTCTAAAGAGCAAAAGCAAGCAGTGCGTGCTGGAAGGGACACGGCCCACGCTGCTCCAAGGGCAGCTGACAGACAGACACCCCTTCGCAGCCATGGCACACGCGTCTTCCTCCCACACACGGGCGGAGAGGGGGATGAGCAGGGCCCCGCTCAACTTGCTTCAGGATGAACCCATGGCACAGGATAGCAGCAGGCAACAGGGGCTCACGATGCACAGAAGAAAGTAGGAGTAGAAGACGACATCAGGTGGCCAAGTTTCCTGGCACTGCCTGACGCAGGGCTCGTTGCAGCTGTTGGCAAGCGGGGTTGGGCCACAGGGACGGCACAGATCGTAGCAGGACATGGCTGTGGGATGGAGGTGCACCTGGGAGGGAGGGCAAGGAAAGCACGGGCAGCGTGTGAGGCACAGGCTGGGGAGCAGGGAGAGCCTGCCTAGGGAGGAAGAGGGACTAAAGAGCCCAGGTACCGAATGCGGCCCTGCAGAGAAACCAAAGTCCTTCTCCCACCTCCCCCCCGATGAGGACCAGGAGAGCAGAGAAGCTGGGACCAGGATCAAGGAGCAATTCCCTCAGCAAAAGCTACAGCGAGGCAAAGATTTGGTCAAGCCTGAAAGACAAAGAGGGGAAGAAGAGAGACAGAAGAGTGAGGCAAAGGTGTTTGCAGCTCACCTTGTTCACCAAGGAGGAGAAGGCAAGAGAAGTGGATGAGGGAGCCTGCTGTGGGACTGCCTTTTATACTGCTCCCGACCGCCCCAGGCCCACAGGCACCCTTGGCGCATGCAATGTGGTACCAACAAGCTCATCTTGCATGCAAAACATCACAATTAAAGAAATGGGGACACGGCTTATGTTCCCTGCAACACTGCCTTTTCATTTCCCTGTCCATGACATGCCCGTTGAGCCACACAGGCTCCTTTCAAGTGACAGCATTAGAGGCCAAAATGTTTCCAGGGGAAATGCCACATCAGCACAGGCAGATGATGCAGCCGGTGATGTGGTGAGTCCCACCCTCACCATTGATGCCATCCACTTGCCCTCCAGGGCCTCACTGTAAGCATTCTCATAATGAACGGGACGTTTTCTTGCAACCGTAAAATACAAGGCCAGACTTAAAAAATTTTGTGTGACAGGAGTCACCATATCCATTTTGTAACTTAATACCAAACCAATTTAAGTATAAGCTTCCCACTCACCTTGGACACCCTGTAAGGTTTTAGGCTCAACATTTTAACATGAGGAGGAATACATATGGTCTTTGCCCTTCCTTACCTCATCTGGAGAGCCTCAACCAGCCTCCTATCAACAGGAGAAGGATGTTTGAGAAGCAGAGGCACTCCTCCCCAACACACACTAAGTCTTCTCCCCACCTCCTCCCAGCACCAAAGGTTGGTTTTGGGGCTTCCCAACTGTTTCTTCTTCATCCCCAAGTCTACCACACACTTCTTTGATCCTACATGTTAACTCAATAACAGGCACTACAAAAACCTTGGAAAGATGTCCATATGACATCAAAACTCATCACATGAGTGCACAGTCTGAGAATATGAACACACTGGAGGCAAGTAAACAGCAGGATCTGTCTCCTCTTCCCAACCATCTCGGAACACTCAGACATGCAGTTTCCCACTGGCCCATGCTAGTTCTGCAGTCAACACCTATAGTGAGGGTCTGTCCAAAGCCCCCAGTGCCCTCCTGCACACTGCTCGCTCTGGTCACATGCTGCAGATGCGGACTTCCCAAGGACCATCCT